CATTTAAGTAGAAAGAAATTAAAAAGCAGTAAAGTTTGGGTTAGCTTTGTTATAAATGTAACTAGCAGGAAGGGAAAATTGCTGCTTATCAAAGAGAGTTAAAAGCATCTGGTTCTGGTGTCCTCAACATAAAAAGGACATGGATCTGTTGGAACAAGTCCAGAGGAGGGTCACGAGGACTGGAGCACCTCCCGTGTGAAGTTAGGCTGAGAAAGTTGGGGCTGTTCAGCCTGGAGAAGAGAAGGCTGCTTGGAAACCTCATAGCAGCCTTCCAGTATCTGAAGGGGGCCTCTAGGGATGCTGGGGAGGGACTCTTCATTAGGGACTGTAGTGACAGGACAAGGGGTAATGGGTTAAAACTTAAACAGGGGAAGTTTAGATTGGATATAAGGAGGAAATTCTTTTCTGTGAGGGTGGTGAGGCACTGGAATGGGTTGTCCAGGGAAGTTGTGAATGCTCCATCCCTGGCAGTGTTCAGGACCAGGTTGTATGAATCCTTGGGTGATATGGTTTAGTGTGAGGTGTCCCTGCCCATGGCAGGGGGGTTGGAACTAGATGATCTTAAGGTCCTTTCCAACCCTAAGTATTCTATGTTTCTATGATTCTACTGTAGTTGATTGCTTTTATTAAGCATGGGCTAATAGGTGAATCCATACTTTATTTTACAAAGCATAATAATGCTTTTCTTATTTGAAAGGTTGGGTTACAGGATCTAAAAGATATCCAAATCTATTGTTTTAATATAGAAAAATTACCCTACTTACTGTAGACAGTTCCTGTAACTGTCTTTCCTCATGGTGTTTGATAAGGGTACATCTGCCTCTTTAGCATGGACCATAGCACAGTTGTTGGAGGTCATAGGGGATGCTTCAGTTTGAAGCCGTTGGTGGCTGATCTTTGTGGTAGCAGCCCTGGATGATCCATCAGGAGGAACAAAGGAGCTCCTTAACATAGGAGGAATGAGTTCTCCTCAATACCAGTCTCCCCAACCATTTTTTTCATCCTGCTCTCAGTCTCTCAGGATCCCTGTGGCAGACTGCATCACCACCTACTGTTTCCCATAAATTGCTTCTTTGAGCTGCAGACATGACCCCTTTCAGATATACATGACTCAACCTGGAGATTTTTATGTCAACTCAATCCTTTTATTGATTTTTCTGTGGCAAGATGGGGACAGTGTGTTTGGTCATTTTTTTCCATTAGCAGCAAAGAATGCGTGAGTCGCTAGACCCAGTAAAGTCACCTTATGGGTATCACTTGTGTAGCACAAACTTTCTTTTCTTTTTGAAGGATCTCTAAGCTGTAGTGTTCTGTATGTATCCGGGCATTGCTGGACGTGTTTTCAGCTTCAGTTATCAGTCAGGCAACAAACTCATTTGCCTGATAATCGATTCCAAAAGCAGCCAGCACTTCCGTTTCCACGTTCAGTCTTAGCAAGATTGAAAAACACAGCATTTGTCATTTACAAGTTTCTTACACGCTGGTGTAAATGTAGACAGAATAGACAAAAGAGTCTTTTGAGGACAGATTGTGAAGTGCAACAATAAATACAGAAATATGGATCAGAATACAAAACTTAGAGCTAACTGCATATGAAGAACAACATGAAGGCTGCTAAAAGAATTCAGCTTTATCTTTTGGCAAGTTAGAGGTTTTTAATTTGCTCTTTTACCTTACACAAATCTCTGTTCTACACAATTTTGATTTTCTTTTTTCTTTCAGAAATGGCATGATTAGATATATTTTTAGCAACTAAAATGTTTTAATGAATTTTATTGAAAGTTGTATAAAGTTTTCTGAAAATACTAGCATTTTTCTAAGGTAAAGTAAGCTGGTTTCATAAATCAGGCATTTTCAAGTAGGTTGAACCTACAGGTATGCACCTTAGAGGAATTAGCTGAAGAAATAATTGTAATCTTACCATTTAAGTTTGAAGACTGTTGAAGAATGAATGTGACTCTTCAGGAAACTGTGATGGCCTTTTTCAACCTGCTTTTAAAGAGGACTGTATGATTATTAACCTAACTTACTGCTCAGAAAGATTCTGCAGCAAATAACTTACACAGTGTCCAGAGGATAATTAGCGGCAGGGATTCTGGGGGAGGAATCTGCATCACATGAACCAGTCTGTCTATGGAAGCACAGTTCTGCAGACCCAGGAATCCCATGTTGGCCTTCTGAGCATCAGTTGTGTAACAAGAACTGTTGTCGTCTTTAAGGATCTCTAGTCCAAGGGTAGTTTAGTACCAAACCAATACAAAAAGATGTACTACCTGTAAGGCTTAAAATAGTTCTATCCAGAGTTTGTTAAAATTCATGATTTTCATTATCTATTCTAGCAATAGACCACTGAGTATGTTTATTAAGGTTTGCCAATGTGAGAAATGCTGTTCACACTGTGGAACTCAGAATCCAGAATGACTCTGGAACACTGAAAGAAAAAAGCCCTAAAAATCACTAAGGGCAGGGACATTTGGCCACCGTTAGTCATGGGGAAAAGAATTTCTTTTTTTTTTTCCCCCAAATGATGTAAACTGATGTATAATCATGAAAAAGCTTTTCCATTCCACAAAGCAGTGAAGAAGCTTGTGCTGGATCAGTGGTGAGGTATACTTGAAGAAAGATGTTGACCAATGGAAGGGGGTCAGGTGAGAACCGTCAAAGATTACTTAGAAATCTAGAAAACACAAGCAAACGGGAAACCTTGAAAGGACTGCGTTTGTACAGTCTAAAGAAGGTAACATTAAGGCATGGCAGGTAGTAGGAATTGTAAAATGCTGATGCAGAAAACAAATACTCTAGCGAGGAAGTAGCAGTCTTGAATTTCAGAGAGAAATTTAGGCCACGTGCTAGGAAAAGGTTTTGAATAGTAAAAATAGAGAAGTACTGAAACATGACTTATGGGGCTTGCGGAATCGCCATTACTAAAGGATTTTAAAAATAGATGAGAAAAACTGTGAGAAATGGCTAAACTAGAACTGATTCTGCCTCTAGGTAATAGGATGGACTAGCTGGATGATCCTTCACGTCTTCATTTTCTATTACCTTTTTTTTTTTAATCTCCAAGTATACATCCCCAGGCTCCAATTACATGTTTTCACATTTTCCCTTCGTGTTTAGCTTTCAGGAAGAAGCAATTGCTCTCCCATGTTAATGAGTAGACTTTCTATTAGTTTTACCAAGGCATCCTCAGAAGAATCCAGGTACTAGGTACATATGCAAGGCAAGCATCAGTTTTCACAGATGCTCGTTAAAATTGGAGCACCATTACCAGAATTAACATTACTGAATAGTGTTTAGTCATTCCATTGTATTCAGTTAAAATGCTCATTCAGAAAGGTATTCCAGCTTTCATAGTCTTTAAATTAATTGCATTATTTGCAGGGTAGTCTACAGTTTTGGAGTGTCTGAGCCACGAGAGGGAAAAAGTACTTCTAACATCTGGGTTTCCCCATTTTGATGCTCAGTAAAAAAAAAAAAAGCAGACTATTTTATTATTTATTATGCATTATTCATCATTATTCATTCATGCCATCTCTTTTTATGACTGAAGTGATTTATTTGCTGTTATAAAAGGTAGAGCCCTATTTTCTATCAATGTACGCATTGCTTGGATTTCTGATTTTATTGGCAAAAATAATAAAAATTCAGCATCTTCGAGTTCTTGGTCAAAAAAGTTCCATTATCCTCTTCTGGAACATGGTCTTATATGAAGCAAAATCATACCAAGCACATCTATTATTATTTAAATTATACCTCTGTATTATTGGTTTTGAATATTTATTAGGCTTTTGAGACCCTCTTTCATTATTCATAAAGGGTAGCCATGCAGTTTGATGAAAAAAGCAGTACAATGAAACCTTATTTTGCATTGCTGGTGTCTTTCATACAAACTGTTTTCCAGTGCATTTTTTTAACGAAGGCCTGCAAGGTGCTGGGAACCTCTGTCATGTTTCTTGCAACATCCCCTCCCTATTGGTTTCAGTGGGACAGGAAGTCATCCAACACCTCACCACTCTATATGACTAGGAATGAAATAAGAAATATCCCTCTAGAGAGATGGCAATGAAGATACAAAGGTCAGGAAAGAAGGATGTCTTTTCACATAAGATATGAAAAACATATGAAGAATTACTGATGTAGAGAGAAAGAGTATGGAAGGTTGGTTTAGGTGATTTATGGAGTTTTCTTTTGAAGCCCACAAGACCCCAAAGAAATAAGGGCAGTTACTTTACCGACTGTAGTATCTGTGTGTATGTTGCGTGTAACGGCAGTCAGCATTAAATGCTTCACAGGAAGGCATGAAACCTCACAGTAAGCAGATTGGGAAAGGATTATTTTCATGCACTTAAGTCTCATCCTTATCTCTAATATGTACTGGTTTGCTTAAACCCTGAGATACGAGGTTTAGTGTCTGTTTTAAAAGGTTTCTCATCACTACAGATATGCATTGCTCTTGTTATCAATATGCCTATAAAGCTCTCTTTAGTCATATTTGTAGATATTTGGTCTCAACAGCATTTTGTATCAGTGATCTCTTAGTCTGATAATGCAGCTTTTGTGTAGATGGATGCTTCTGTTTATTGCTTTTGAATTTGTTGTGTTCTACATTTTTTTGACATCCCCTTTCTCTTATATTTTTGAGTCATGGCTCACTCTCCTCAACTTGTATTACTATGACTACTAAAACTTAGAATATCTTTTGACTGACTGCCTTGTTTTATTTAAATCCTCCACTTCATCTCTGCCAGACTATGTAGTGAATCTGGCATTTTAATGTATCTCACTTATTGTTTAATTGCACCAGTCTCTTGTGTGATACAAGTCCTTTGCCAAGACAGCCTGTTTAAAATCTGAAATATAAAATGGGCCTCAGGAAAGGTCAATTTTGTGTTAATATTGTAGATCAGTGTGAAGCTTGTTTGACTCTCAAGAGCCTGGATTTTAAAAACCAGGATAGTCTGGTGAAGGATTATTGACCAATTTCTTTTTGTTTCCAGCTGAGCTGCCAGGATCATCTGCAATCAAGCTTTCCTCCTTGTGTGATCTTCCAGCTCAGCTGCAAGAATTGTACCAGCAGGGCTTTGTCTTGGCTGCTGTCCACCCTTTCGTGCAACCAACTGATGAAAAAGAGAAAACTCCCCAGGAACAAATCTTCAGGGCTGTGCTTATCAAGAAAACAGAAAGGTAAAGCACTTCCAGTGAACTGGGATAAAAATAGACAATGTGATTTCCTGCTGAGTTTTGACCTACATCAGGAAATTATAGCAGAGTTTACTGTGCAAGACTTGATTTTTTTTAATATTTTTTGCCCTTTTTTTTTTTTTTTTGGTGGGCTTGAATAGGCTTAACATGTTTTTCATGTTTACAATTCATTTGCAGTTTGGCAGACGACTCGAAGAATAACAACTCGAAATATGCTCTGTATTTTAGGATGTGTTGTCATGAGAGGCAAACAAACAAGCCCTATGCCTGACAATTTGTGAGGATGGTCCCGTTGGTACCCTTTAAGAATGTATTAGATTAAATTGAGACAGAAGAAATGTTTGCTTAAGAAAGGCTTGTTTTGTGTTTAAACAGTTACAATTAATGCAGTTAATTGGAGAACTGCAGCACTAATGCATACTTTTTAAATTTACTTGTGGACTTCAGGCCCTTCTGTCCTCTAAACAAGTTCTTTTAATTTTTCAGTCAGTGCAGACTCCTTAAATAAAAAGATGATTCTCCTGCTTTGTTCAGTCTCTTCAAATGCATTAAGAATATTTTACATAATCAAAGTATGATGAATACTGGCTGGATGGCTGCACACAAAGAGTTGTGGTCAATGGCTCAATGTCCAGGTGGAGACCAGTAATGAGTGGTGTCCCTCAGGGAACGGTGTTGGGACCGGTCTTGTTTAACATCTTTGTTGCTGACATGGACAGTGGGATTGAGTGCGCCCTCAGCAAGTTTGCCGATGACACCAAGCTGTGTGGTTCGGTTGATACGCTGGAGGGAAGGAATGCCATCCAGAGGGACCTTGACACGCTTGTGAGGTGGGCTGATGCCAACCTCATGAAGTTTAACCATGCCAAGTGCAAGGTCCCACACATGGGTTGGAGCAATCCCAGGCACAGCTACAGGCTGGGCAGAGAAGAGATTCAGAGCAGCCCTGTGGAGAAGGACTTGGGGGTGCTGGTCGATGAGAAAATGAACATGAGCTGACAGTGTGCGCTCGCATCCCAGAAAGTCAACTGTATCCTGGGGTGCATCAAAAGGAGTGTGACCAGCAGGTCAAAGGAGGTGATCCTGCTCCTCTACTCTGCTCTCGTGAGACCTCACTTGGAGTATTGTGTACAGTTCTGGTGTCCTCAACATAAAAAGGACATGGATCTGTTGGAACAAGTCCAGAGGAGGGCCACGAGGATGATCAGGGGACTGGAGCACCTCCCATATGAAGACAGGCTGAGAAAGTTGGGGCTGTTCTCTTCAGAAGGCTTAGTGGAAACCTCATAGCAGCCTTCCAGTATCTGAAGGGGGCCTCTAGGGATGCTGGGGAGGGGCTCTTCATTAGGGACTGTAGTGATAGGACAAGGGGTAATGGGTTAAAATTTAAACAGGAGAAGTTTAGATTGGACATAAGGAGGAAATTCTTTCCTGTGAGGGTGGTGAGGCACTGGAATGGGTTTCCCAGGGAAGTTGTGAATGTTCTATCCCTGGCAGTGTTCAAGACCAGGTTGTATGAATCCTTGGGTGATATGGTTTAGTGTGAGGTGTCCCTGCCCATGGCAGGGGGGTTGGAACCAGATGATCTAAAGGTTGATCTAAAGGTTCTTTCCAAACCCTAAATATTCTATTCTATGATTCTATTCTGTAAGTGCATATTTATAATTTTTAATGATTTAAAACATAATATGACCTATCTGGCCACCTACAACTCTGCAGCTACCTGTGTTGTTGCAGCAGTTCTGTTACAGTTTGCCTAGGTTAGTTGCATTCCTCAGTCCACCCCTTCTGAAAGTGATCAGTACTGAAGTTTGGGGGATATTTAAACCAACATTTGGCTGTCCTAGTCCCTCTCTTTGTGCTGATACTTGCAGGAAAGGATGTAGCTTATTTAGATATCTTTTTAAAAAACTCAAGTAAAACCACCATTCAATTTGCTACAGCCTGGTAATCAATCGGTAGCAATTACAGATGGGGTCGAGTAGGAAAAGGCTTTGCATTTCAGTAGGGAATAAATGTAGGCATTAGATGTCAAAGGCACTTTTAGCTTCTAAAATAACCCTCAATTTACCTTGACTTGCTTTTGCTTTAATTACTACAGAACTTCATGCTGGCTTTGTCCAATAGTATTGTTTAAAGGCTTTCCAGGTTTATGGTCAAAACATAAAATGTTTGGCTAAACAGTGGACTTCCTGAGTAATATTGGGTTGAGCTTGCCCAGTTTTGGAGCCTTGCTTCCCCTGCTTACAAAATACTCTGCTGCAAATAATGAAAGTATTTACATGCATGCGTTTGCAATATTAAGTAAGCACTTAAGCACTTCTGATGGATTGGGGTCCAAGGGTTCAGCATCTTTCAGGAATGAGCTGCAAAGACACGTTAGGGAAAAGCAGCGATACCGTCTGCAAGCCAGAGCACTCAGTGTGTCACTGCTGGCTCATGCCATATCCAGTAGTTTACATCTGTGAAGAATGATTGTGCAAGAGTACAAAATCTTAATTGCCTACTCACTCACTTGGGTGCCAGTGTTTCACATACTTGAGACAGCTGTAAATGACTACAAATTGAAGACAGTAGAGAGTCTTGAACCAATTATATTTCCTTTTATGTTCACACTCCATTTATTTGCATTCTCTTATCTGTCATTTCTGACTGCATAGGGAAGTGGAGGAGACTTGGTGCAGTGGGCAAAAACAGACAAGCACCAGAAAGGGAAGTTACATGAGTTTGGTGTTTCATGTAGTTTAAATGTTCCTGAGTCTGGTAGAGAGTATGGGAGAAGAGTGTGGATGCAAGAAACGCGTTACCAAGTGCAAGGGAGAGATGGGTGTTGCACAGATTTTGCATGAGTGTGGCCGGCATAGAGACCAGCTATATTGGAACTGTGAGTTTATCCCATTCCTGGTTAAGAAATAAAAGACATACTGTTAATCTTTTTAAATATACCTTTCTCACTATGCTGCTGCTGAAGAATAAATTCTGCTTTTTTTATTGAGGGCTCTCAGGTGTCTGGCATCTGTAGGCTGTCTCTGTATAAAACAGTTGAACTCTTGGGCAGAAGTTAAGGCCTGCTTAGGATATTCGTTGGTCAGGTGAATGTTTATTTCTGTCATAAGATTTTAAAAGTACAAATGGTCCCGCTACAGTTGTAGGATCACTAGTAATGTCATTTATGCTCTGAAGTACAAAGTGGTCTTCGTCTGCTTCCAGGTGTTCATGGGGAGCCAAGGAGCCATAGAAAGCTCTGTACATTGGTGAGGGGCCCACCCTTGAGCTTCCCAGGAACCTTCCGCAAAACACCTGAGGCTGTAGCTCCTTTCTTACTATAGATGTTTCAGCACAGATGTCTCCAGTGCTGTAGAAATAGAACTCAAATACCACATGTGGGTTTTCAACTTGCTATTTTTGTTGCCTGAATGGAACAAAAATCAAATTGTTGTATTTTAGTGCCTTTTCGTATAGTATACACAGTCAATTCTGTGTATGCAGAGACAGAGCTGAACACTTGGACTAGTCTTTACTCAGTGTTGCACCTTTTTATGTCGGTTTTGTATTTTAAAATGGATACTGTTGACTCACAGTTTGAGGATGTAGTTTTATAGCACTGCCTCTCCAAAGCTAGGAAGAGGCTGTTCTAGCTGCAGCAGATGATTGGGATTGGACTAGATGATCTTGGGATTGGACTAGATGATCTTTTGAGGTCCCTTCCAATCTCTAACCTACTGTGATACTGTGATGATGCACGTCAAGAACTGTGTGCTGCTGCTATCACTGAGATTTGCAGTGCCTTAATTTGTTAAAAAATAAAATTGAAAAGATAGTCCTTAGTTATGCATTAATGTTATGCATTAAAACTTGAGGGAAAAGTACCTGTTAGTGTTATTCCTCATATTTTGCTGTTGTCCTGGAGTTTTAAAAACTCAGTGTGAATTTGCAACATCATTGTACATTTAAGATGACTTTGAGAGCCATTACGATAGCTTTGTGTTTAATCTCTACTGGTATCTCTGTGGCTTCGTTATCTTAGCTGTCTAATCGTTTCTGGTAAACAAGGAAGTAGGAGACATTGCTGCTGTAGGACATTTGTGGAAACAGATCCCTAACATAGACAGAAGCTAGAGAAGTTGAAAAGGAGGGTTTGTCCCTTGGAATATTAGGGAGAATATGAAAGTAAAGGACAGATTTACTTTTTTTTTTTTTTTTTAATTAACAATACAGTTGTTTGCACTGCAAAATGTGTCATGTTCAATTAAAGTAAATGAAGTAAATACAAGAGTGTTTAATTCCTTAGCAGCACTGGGCATGAAGGTAGCCTGCCACATAGCTGAACGACTCTGCCATTGCCCTGATTAAATTTAATATAATAAATTGAAATATTTCTCTAGCACCTAATTGCATTGTGCATCCTAACCAGTGATTAGAAGGCAAATTGATAAGTGTCAGATAACTTCAGTGCTCCTGTGAACACTTTTTTCTCTCTTTAAATTTCAATTGACTTCTTCACTCAAAAGCAGCTGACTGTTTTACTGTCTGTGCTGAGTTCTGGGATACTTGGGTTTCTCGGAGAAGGCATCTTGGAAAAAAAACAAATAGGCAAAGAAAAGTCTTCAAGCCCAGGTTTGTACAGGGTTTTTTTTGCTGAATGTAGGGAAGGTTCTGGGTGTCGAGGGAGTCCTGGCCTACGGGTTCATGCTGATTCACACTTGAGAAAAGTTGATTTGCACTGATTTACACTTCAAGACAAGAATCTCAGGAAAAGGGAAACCCTGGAAAGTGTGAAGGTGTGACAGTGAATCTCTCCTGGAGGAAGGGACAGGGGAAGGTCTTTGCATTTGTGAGGTTCTGGCTAACTCAGGAGAGTAGCATATATGTCACTTGTATTCCCTCCGAGTAACAGAGAGAGTTCTTTGTGTGTGTAATGATCTTTCTGTCTTTGCCCATTTATTTCCATACTCAATATTTTTTAATATAACAATCTGTTA